TTGCCGTATGAGTATACGTTGTCCAAGGTGCACCACGTGGCGGTAAGTCTATCACACACCCCTAGTCAGTTTTCACAATTCAAGCAAATGATGAAGTCGTTTAAAACAGGGTTCAGTTACTAACATTTCAGGCCCTAAACACTTATGAAAATTATGCAGAAATTAACATAGAAGGCATTTTTATAAAAGCAGTTAATAAAATCTTTTTGAATAGAACTAATATTATAACGAAAGTTTAGAAAATAGAACTTGAACAGGAAAATATGAAAATTCAACGGTATTTCCGTTCTTAGTGGATTTTATTTTTTCCATATTATCCCTTTACCATTTAATATTCTAGTGATGCACCACGTGAAGATAAGTCTATCGCACACCCCACACATAGTGCATCCTCTGCAACGCATACTCATATAGCAAAAAAGTCTATCTAACTGGCGGTTGACATCTGACTCCAAACTACAATGACCCCACTGAATGTCCTATTCCATCACTTCCGTTTCTTTTACATCTGTGAATCATTATTCTGTCCCCCTCACAACTTTTTCGCACTTTGGTGTTCCTCCCCTCCGTGAAGTCCGAAGTCATCTAAATGACTAATGGTAACTATCAAAACGCCTGCCGTTTGAAATAAATAAATAATCAAATGATTTTAGTGCTTTGATAGTAGTACATTAAATGGTTCAGATTTGCTTACACATTGGCATGCTGTCAATTAACGGATTAAGTCATCTTCCATCTTACTGATTTGTCTGTCGACTCCTGCTCTGATTCAACTTTGCCATTCTTCTCTAACAATAAATGAGACCGTCACATTGCCAGTATGTGTCCAATCATGCTAAAATTATGTGAAATCGGAATTGGTTACTCGCCGAAGTAATTTAGAAAACCATTGCCAACTCGTATGAAACAATTCAGATTACTTTTGTTGCTTCTTACACGAACATACACACCATTATAATATCACCAAGACACCTAAGCAAGTGCCTTATTAACAGCAATCTAACAACTCGACAGTGGGCTTTCCACTCATCCACTTTCTTCCTCCTCTAAACCATTTCTAATTGTGGTTCATAAATATTCAAAAAACTTCATAGCATTGTACTGGGAAAATAATAAAGATGACAATGAAAAGTTAGTTACTCTTTCAATAAGGGAAGGCTTTGACTAATTTGGGCTTTAGGTTTTATTTGTACTCTGGTAGTTATTTCCAAGACTTAAATATTTCATTCGTCTTCACAATGAATAGGTAAGACATTGATTTCAGTAATAACCTACCCAACTTGCTAGATTCTTCTAAGTCAGAATCATTTTGTGCCTATATCCAATGTGTTTAAAAATTTGTCACTCGTAATTTCATTGTTATTCAAATGAAGACGCAGGAAGGTGTTATTTCCGTAATTGAGGAGCATCTATTTCTATGAACATGATAGAGAAGGAATTTTTCTGTGACAAAAGTTGTAATGGGAAAATTCACCTGGTATTGAATTTATCATGCAGAAACGTCAGAATTTACTTTAGAATATTTCAAATAATTATGAAATAGCCAATATCATCTCAGATTTAAAAAGTCAATTTGTTTTTACACTGAGAATGTAGAGTTCATCATTTATATGGAGAGATGGAACCTCTCTGCAGCGGAAGCACAGTTTGCCACGATATTCAGATTTTCACTAATAGTACTAATTTTCTTAAATTATCACTGAATCTTTCATCATATTCTTTTCTTGATGAAATTTATTGCCATTGATTCCTTGATGATCAATGTGAATAATGAATAAAATGCTGGCGTCTGTTCGTGCTATGAAAATCAATCATATGCTTTGGCAATCGTGACTTATAAAATCGATATATTAATTTAATAAAGATATTTTAAGCAACATAATGTGTATCCAATAATATGAACCAGATTTAATGTAGTCAAAACTTGAAAAAAATCATTTTAGGCATGATTTACACATTATTATTATAAATTTGTTAATGAACTAAGTGATTCTAGACCGATTTGTCCTAGAGTCATCAAGCGGCTAGTACGAGGTGTCGTGCTCTGTGGGTGGTTCCACCTTCTAAAGGGATCATTTAATCATATCTGCCATAAATCGTTGTTTTATAATTATTAGTCAAAATTATATTAGTTAGTGCTATTACTCTGAGATATTTTTGTACATCACATGATTATTTTTTACTTGAGTTTCTAAAAATGGTATTGTTTTTAGGCAATTCGTTTTTTTACCTTCGGGCTCAAAAGGGCATTTTATTCGCCATCATTTTTATATAAAATGTCTTCGAGCCCAGATGTATTATCCAGATCTACCGGCACATTTGTCAACCAATTTAATCCCAGGACTGGGGCTAATCAATGGATGGTTGTAAATGATAACTATGATTATCAACAAGAGATTGCTCAATCTGCTTACGCTGACATGCTTCATGATTACGATCGCAATCGTCGATATCACGAAGCCATTCGACATGTCATCTCAAGACTGAAATCCGCCGGTCGGGAGGTTCATGTTTTAGACATTGGAACAGGAACAGGTCTCTTATCAATGATGGCTGTTCAAGCTGGTGCTGATTCGGTACTTGCTTGCGAGGCCTTCGAGCCCATGGCAAAGTGCGCTGAAAATATTATCAAGGCTAATGGAATGAGCGATCAAATTAAAGTTATTCACAAGAGGTCGACCGAATTGGTAATTGGTGAGGATATGCCAAGGAAAGCGAATGTTCTCGTTGCAGAGTTGTTTGATACCGAACTAATTGGCGAAGGAGCTTTGGAGGTCTATCAACATGCTGCTGATCATCTGCTTACTCCGGATGCTATTCTTATACCCTCTAAAGCCAGAATGTATATCCAGGTTCTGGAATCTCCCTTCCTCTGGTCGCATCACTCGATTGAGCCTATTTTCGAGAGTGGAATCACAATTCCTACTGAAAAGATGCTTACGTGTCATGGCTCTCCTGCAGTATTTGATCTCCAAGCTTCGTTGCTGAAGTTTGTTGAAGGTATTATCTCCTTTTTGAATTGTTGTTTGTCTTTAACTTTTCTACTAAGACTCTTGACTTTCATATTTCAAGCAAGCTAGTTTTAAATTTATGGTTCACTCATTGCAGAAACATTGTTATTCCTTACCGGTTAGTAGTAAATAGTTATGATTTGATGCATTTCTGTGTATGTTAATTTTTCATTACTAATAGTAATGCGAAATATGTTCAGTTGGAGATTTTGTGCTATTTAGTTAATTATTGTATGTAAAACATCCATATATTAGATACGATTCCGCACAAAAGTACTTTTATTGGTAGGTGGAGAACGACTTTCAGGCAAATTCAGCCTCAAAGTCATGCGTTCGCCATGGCTTCAATTATAGTTATGCTCTCTTCTTTAAAACCTGAAATTTTTGAGAGCATAAGGTCGAAGCTGATTTTCTTAACTCCATTCGTAAATTTGAATCGATCGCGTTTAGGAAGCTAGCTGCTAGCTAGCTCCTTTCTTTCCTTCTTGCGCTGCTTATTATTTAATTTTATCCATGACCGAAAACTTTCTATTTTGCTTCATTTGTCTTGATCAGAGTGTTATTTCTCCGATCGGTATGTAGCAGTAAATCGTTATAGGTCGCAGGCTTTGGGTGCTAGCTATCCAAAAGGAGCTTTTTGTTAATAATTTTCTAAATCCATTTAAAAGAAATTTCCTGATTAATCTCTTTGTAACTCATGACTCTGAGAGTAAAATTCCAAAATGAACTTTTTCGACACATTTACTAGATTTTCACTTCCATTTAAACTTCGAAATTGATCATTTTTTTCTTTTGCTTACACTTGACGTATAAGGGGGTAAGGTGTTTCGTGCTTACTAGGAACCCGCATTCTACTCCACCCCCCACCCCCCACCCCTCTTACTTACTCCAAATACAGCTGATGTTGGCCAGCCACATCACTGATAAGCATTGATCTCTTGACTTGTGGGCTTACTATTGTTTCGTTTGCTTTAATCATTGGGTCTTGTCAAGAGGGTATTTAGTGTTCTAGATTCTTTCCTCATTTCGACTTGCTAGTAGCCAACTATTTACCGTACCCCGTTGGAACCTTTGCTAGTTTTTGTTAGGAATAGCTCCAATGCTGAATCTTCTCATCAGTTTATACTTGCTATATGCAAATCGAATCCAATTTACCACTTTACTGTTGGTTTATTTTTCAAACTTCCTGGAATTTGTTGACTTTTACTATGATAAATGGTAAGATTGACTCATATATTCTACGTAGATAATAGCCTATCTTGAAAGTTTTCCATAACTCAGCTATTCCTTACTTTCTCAAAGGTGATGATCCTCTCACTAAGGATAATGACAGGGGAGCTGCTCGTTGTCTTCTGGAAAATCCATTGATGTTTCACGAATTCAATTTTGCACCTCCTTCGTCCAATATATCTCTGGATTTTACGAAGAGATTAACTGGTATGTCTCATCCTTTTTCTGTTTAAGTGCTTAGAGGGGGGATTTACTGGTTGCTGACTTTGTCCTTTAGAAATAAATGGTGAGTCGATAAAGGCAATTCGATCTGGTACAGCTCACGCCGTTCTCGTTTGGTGGGAGTTGCAAATGGAGCCCTCGAATCAAATCCCCTCTATCACCATGGCTCCAGAGAATGGTGGTATTGGTGGAAGTCCTGGGGATTTGCGAGCAATCCCATCTTGGCGTGAACACTGGATGCAAGCTGTCTACTTTCCTCGAAACTGTCCTCTCCCACTCACCGCAGGTCAACCATTCTGCATTGACTTTGCTCATGATGATTACTCCATGCATTTTGATCTACATTCCACCGCAAATTACTATACCCTACCTCCTGTGTTGGGAAGAAAATCTGCCTCCTACTGCAATTGTCTTGCCCATGCATCTTGGGCTCGTTCACGATTCGCTCAGCTCAATCACCCGCAATTTCGAAAACTACAGGACCATGAATTTGTACCTCGCATCATTGAGGAGATTTCCTCCCTTTCAAATTCTTCTTCTATAGCTTTAGTTGTCGTATCCGAGGCTTCTTTACTCCCTCTCTATCTCCATAGGGCCCTTTCCTCCAAAAATGTGCCAATTTTTCACTTAGATTGTTTTGTGTTAGCAAAGAGACTAATGGAATCAATCTATCAAGAGTGCAATGCCGATATTAAATTCAAAACTACTATCGATGACTTGATGAAATCTCTTGAACTATTCGTTTCCAATGCTACTAAACCAGCAGAAATTTGTATTCTGTCAGAACCCTACTGCAATGAGGCTTTTCTGCCTTGGAATGCAATCCAGTTCTGGTATGTCTATGGGCAAATTGCGACGAAATACCCCTGCCGATTAATATCCCCAACCGCTCTGCGAATTCAAGCTGTTGCAATGGATTTCGATCATCTTTGGAAGATTAGAGCTCCTGTAGGGGATAATGTGGAGGGATTTGATCTGAAGATATTTGATGAAATGATCCTTTCCGCGGCTCAAACAACGGATGCTACTGTTGAGCCGCATCCTCTTTGGCAGTATACGGGGAAAGCGAGGTCAAATCCCATGTGTGCCTTTGAGCTCTCTCTAACGGTTCCTCCAGCATCACCAGAAAAGATGAATGAACACAAAATCTGCAATTTGACTATCTCTCTTTCGAACCCGTCTACTGTTAATGCAGTTGCAATGTGGGCTGAATGGAGAACTCTAGATGGAAGTTGGCACCCTGTTGGTGGACCTTTGAGGCCCGTGGAAATCGACCAAGAGGTAGACTGGTGTAAAGTAGGACCCCAAACGGGCGTCTCTTTCTTGAGATGCGCTTTGAAGAATGAGTTGAAAAAGCGGGAAGGATCGATGTGTAAATTGAATGTTGAATGCGATTTTGATTTTTATGAAGGAGAACCGATCTTTAGGTTTTCTGTGATATGAAAGCTTATAAACGAATGAGTTTGTAAATATGTTAATAAAGTAACGGTCTTAGAATCATCATCCGCTTTCATGTTGTGGGCATGTTTTGCGATGTTATATGAAACAAACTACCCTTGGGTTCATTTTAATTACATCGATTTGGATATGGCTTTCTATGCTAATGCATTCCAACCCAATATAAGACTCACTTGTTTCTGAGTGGCTTTTATTATGCTCATTCGTCATGTTTGAGGTCTCGATCTGTCTGATTACCTGTTTGTCCTGGGTAATACGGATCAATGGAAAGGAACCAGTTAATAGGTAAGACTTCGCTTCAACAGACTCATAATGAGTAGGATCTTTTCAAACACACTATTTGGGCACGATGAAACACTACACTTACTGTTGGAGAAAGCAGTAAAATGCGAAATATTTGTTTTGATTTGTGTGTAGCCAACTTGCGATTTGCACCACATTTTCCTTCAAGATCGATATGCAATAGGTAACTGGGATAAGCCGTAAAGGCGAGTTATGTGACGTCTAGACCGAAGTTGGTTTTCGAGATTTCGATACTACACAATCCTCAGAATTTGAATAATTGGTATTAGCTAAAATCTTCAATTTATATTAACTCCATTAGATTATCTCCTTACTTCCTTACCCATCTACAGCATTGCTGATAATTAGTAAATACTTTCAACAAGTTTGATCAAGAGCCTCTTAAATGATGAATTCAGTCATCAATGCCAAATTAGACTAGGTATCTCCCAATGGAAATAGTGGTCTTCTTACTGCGAATGGGATACATCAGCCTTACCGGAGTAAGAAAATCAGTAATGAATCATGAAATGGGGAATGGTAGTCAATATGAAATAAATTGGGAGGAAAGCATGAGTGCAGAGTGAGGACAATCCAGGTTCTGAGAAGCGGACAAATAAAAGCATTAGCTGAGCGTTCACCCCTCCTTCGTCTACGAATCAGTAGGTGTACAAGACAGATGCTTATGAGTCGAAGTGTTCAAGCCTTATATATCTATTAAAGCTAATTTCTCTTTCGGGAGATGAATCCTTGTCTATTACATAGTATTTCCGATCTTAAACACTGCTGCTCGTGACATAGGCCATAATCAGTAATTGAAAAGTGTAATTAAACTGTCTCAAAGTAGTACTCTGTTGAGGTCAAGTTCAAAACAATTAATTTTCATTTCTTAATTAAAATATGCTTTTGTGAGATTGAATGACCTCGGTCACAAAAATAATTGCTACCTTGTTGGTTGATAAGGCGATTTGATCTTTGTTAAATTAGGGACTTCAAAATGATCTTGAAGGCTTAAGGAACACTTCATCGGTGGCTTTCAAGAAGGCTTTGAAACTGCATCATTTTCACTGGCCAGTCTTCTGAATTCACAATGAATCACCTTCATTAGACAATACTGTTTTAACGTAGAGAATGCAATTCACTGAAGTTAAGTTGAATTGGCCTGGCTGTAGATCTTTATATAAATCCATTATTCCTTTCATAACTCCCTAAGATTCGGAGAATTCGGATATGCACCAAGTTTTGAAAGCAGGCAAAAATTCGAATAGGTTTGTGAATTACGAAAGCACTAACCAATAAACATTTCCAATATCGGCAAATGGCGTCAATTGCATTGGCCTCCAAATCGACATCAACGCTAGATTTTAGCCGATTGGAACGCTGTGAAGTATCTCAAATGATAACCCCTTTATCACTAATCGTTTATAGATTTCGAGACCGAAACCAATGAACTTCACCTCTTCTAACAGAAGTGGTATTATCAGGTTCCTAAACTCTGCCTTTAAAATACAGAATTTAATCCAGGTGACTACATGGAAGGATTTTTAAGTGTTGATTTTAATTGTCTTAAATCTAGTAATTTTTACTTCATTCTGGTTTAATATTCTAATTTTAATTTCAGAGATCTTGGGAAACCGAATATATGTGTTTGTGGTCCACTTTCGAAAGGGTAAATTTTAAAAAATTTTAATCAGTAGGTTTAACTTAATTGGTAAATTCGGCGGGGACTTAATAATTACAGAATGCCACTTTGTTTACAATCTGACAATTTTAGCAGTATAGTTCTTAACACTAGCGCTATGAGAGATATTTACTATTTAAATAATTCAATGAAAATCACATTGAATTAGATGAGTTTTATAAATCGTCCGGTTCTAAAGCCCTGAACGTCGCGGACATGAACTTGTACACCAATCCATGCTGTATCAATTTCCATAATTCATTCACGCTTATGCATACTTCATGTTTTTTACGAAGGAGCAAAATCTCTTCATTTAATGATTGGGTGATATATGAATACAGGGTATTGATTTTACTGGCAGCCGCAACATAATGATAGTAAATCTTCACATTTTGATAGGATGGTTTCGAAAATAAAAAACTGTTAAATCCTCACTGAAGTTTATTAAGGAAGTATCAGGGTTCTCTTCTTAATCCTAGAAACAATATTTCCCTCTGAGCACCTTAAATCATGATATTAATTTAAATTAGAATTGAAAGGGTAAATAAAAGGAATATATTTTAAAGCGGGTAACCACCATTAAGTTGTTAGCTAGATACCTAAGGGGAAAATTTACCAAGTTGGTACGCTGCTCTTTGTGACGATAAAGGCGCAAAAGGGTATGAAAGGAGGATGGTAAAAGTACAATTTGTGTGACCAAGTGACCATCTTGCTACAATGACCGCTTCCAACCAAGCTCTGTACTCATATTGATGCTCAACTTGCCAAGTCCTTTAATTATGGCAATCCTACAGATATGCCCTTTATGTCTTAAAAGCTCATGGACAACAATCCAAAATCAAAGGATCAAGAGAGAATTAAAAGAAGTCTAAAGAAGTCATTAGATATTGGAAGGATATGAGTAAGCGTTAACATTGAGTTACTAGAACACAGGTGGTCAAATAACGGATGAAGTAGGAAACACTGGTTGTAATAACTGATGCTGCGCTCTTTTTAATCAGACTTCAGCCAATTATACCAGAACACTGACCTCATATAAAGCTACTTTTCAAATCAATCTGAGTTGGTCATGAAATGATCTAATTCAATTACATTAATGGTTGTTGGGATTCAACAGTCTTTACCAAATCCAAAGAACAGGAGTTGAGTTGAGTAAATAGTGTTTGGAGCACCGTAGGGCCAGAGGGGGGGGGGAAGATCAACCAAAGATATGGACACCGTTGTGTGTGCCATTGATTTTTTCGAAGATAATCCATGCAATGAGACTTCACCTCGTACTTATAACTTTATTGATCATCTCGATTATTTGCAGTTTGTAAGTGAATAGCGTATTCGATGGCTCTAATATTACAATCTTTGGCAGTTATTAACAAATTAACAGATTATCAGCGAGTTCACTTTCGTTTAATATTTTAAGCTTATTAGCGAACAGTGATATATAATTAACCTTAGTGTCCATTTGCATATAGGTTTACATATGATTATAGTATATAATTAAAACCATATAATTTTAGAAGCAAGCTTAATTAGTTTTGGTTACTAGGTATAGTAATTAACTATAGTTATATCAGCCAATCAATAAAAGAGAAGTCTTATTCGACACAAATAAAGAATTAGCATTCACGAAGCTATAAAAAAATCAGATGGTCACACATATACATAAAAGAATATCTTCTTTAACTTAAATCAATTGTGAATTTCCTCCCAGTTTTTTGAAAGGGCCTGCAAGATAGTAATAAAAGAGAAAATGATCATTGGCCTGTTTCGATAAAAAAGAAATAATAATAAACAGGTAATTACTCACGTTAACTTCACATTTGATTTGCTTAACATAATTTTTGAAGCTGCATATGACGTCTTTTCGAGAGATTTTGCATTAAGATAAATGACTTCCTTTATACCAGATTGAATTATATATCTTGCACATTCATTGCAAGGAAACAGTGTTGTATAAATTTTACATTCATCCAGCGTCATTAGATTTTTGTTCAAAATTGCATTCTGCTCAGCGTGAATAACTATAGTGGAACAGAAATACAATTAGGAAGTCAAAAGGGAAAAACCATAATTGTTTTTATTTTGAAGAGGATCTTCTTGAAATTTAGTCCATGGCAAATCATCATCCGATATCCCATTTGGAAAACCATTGTAGCCCAGTGCGACTACACGATTCTTACTGTTAACGATACAGGCACCAACCTAAATTGGAATGTTATTACGCTTATTCTGAACTCAGTGAAAGCAAAAATGGGAGTATTCAACAAACCTGCTTGCATGGATCTTTACTCCTCATAGAAGTTACAATTGCTAGAGACATGAAATGTTCGTCCCAGTTCATGACATCTTTCCGTTTAACTTGGGCTTTGACGGTAAATCGGTCGCAAAAGCCTTTAAAATAAATGTGATTATTTGAATGATTATCATAAAAGGATAGGTAAGATAACGATAAATAATAAGCCAAACTGATACAAATATCCTACCGTTTAAACCCTCACTTTCCATTGGCATTATATGTGAGACAAAAATAGTATACCTTAAAATGCCACTTTGCAAGTTACTGATAAAAATAGCTTATTTAAACAAATTCGATGAATTGATCATCATTGTAGCATTTTGAAGATAAAATTGCATAAAATTTATTTATTTTATATTTATTTCAATTTGTGAGATTATTTATATTCAAAATCAAAGCATTTTGAAACGCTTATTTCTTTATTTATTTTGAATATTTATTAATTATATTTGGATTCAGTATGTTTTATTACACATAATAGTATATTAATATGAAAAGGGAGCATATTTAATAGTCGTTTAGAAAATTAACAAAGACATTTTACTAGATCCCGGATAATCTAATGCAGGCTTTGCATCAAATCAATTTCTCTTGCTACTATAGAATCTGAATTGTTTAGATTTTCAAATTTTATTGAATGCTTATTCTGAGCGTTTAAATTATTGCTTATAGCGCTTGCCAATCACATTAAACAATCCCATTTTTAATCGTACTCCTATTTTGGGCATATTTACTTTCGGTTCCTTAATTTAGAACCAGAGAACGTTATTCCTAACTTTTCCCAAATTGAAAAAAATCCACTTTTGGAATTCCTTTTTAAAGACTAATATCTATCAAAAATCTAATTGGTGTACTGAGCGTATAACAAATTGCGTTCCGATTCTGGGTTTACAATTAATTAGTTTTGCGTTAATTTCCTTGCTTCGCTTAGATTCAGTGTCATTCTTGATAATATATAACCCTCCCCGGACTTAATTATCAACAGAAGGTTTCAACTCGTCCCTTTTCATGAGACCACTATATTCTGCAAGTCGAGCCATTTACATTCATGTCAATCATTTTCAATATAAGTCGTCAATGCAACCATTCAGTTAAATTACCCCTGTCCATCTATTACGTGGACATTACAGGGACTATCGAAATCCATTGAATGTCACCTAGCGCTATACCAGTAAAAACTAGACTACTCCATCCCTCAACAGCAATCATCAATTATGAGAATAAGGGGTGCGCGATAGACTTACATCCACATGGTTCACATTGGACAACGTATCTTCGTACGGCAAAAAAGTCTATCACTTGGGACTTGATTTGACTTCTATTTATTATGATTAGCTTGAAACAATGCTATAAGAGAAATTGCCCTCAATTAGCTTTGAAAAAGGCTATAAGAAAAATCGCCCTCGCAGAGCTTGAAACAATGCTATAAGAGAAATTGCCCTCATCGGGGCGAATCACAACGTCTTCAGATCCTCCAGTGGAATGTTGGAGGGATGTCACAGGAAAAAAAGATCCAAATCCAGAAAATCCTACAAACCTATAATGTAGACATTTTCACAATTATGGAAGCAAACCTTTTGGATGACAAATTGAAATACTAACAATTCCCAGGTTACACCCTGTACAATCTACCTAAATACCGGCAAGTTGCAAGTGGAATTCTGACTGGAGTAAAAGAAGGCCTAACCTCACATTACGATCTTATCAAGAGTATGGGCTCGATGCAAGACTTGTGCGAAATAATCAGATTAAATGTTTGGAAATGTCAAAACCACTTCAAGATATATGCGGTCTATAATCCACCCCAGAATTGTCCCAACTTTGATTTTCTGAACATCTCACACAAAACTGTAGTACTAGGCGACTTCAACGCCCCTTCCACCAGATGGGGCTATAAGGATACAAACATAGCTGGAAAGGAAATCGAAGACATGCTAAACAGCAACCCTCTGGAACTTATTTACAGCAATGAGGATCNATGCGGTCTATAATCCACCCCAGAATTGTCCCAACTTTGATTTTCTGAACATCTCACACAAAACTGTAGTACTAGGCGACTTCAACGCCCCTTCCACCAGATGGGGCTATAAGGATACAAACATAGCTGGAAAGGAAATCGAAGACATGCTAAACAGCAACCCTCTGGAACTTATTTACAGCAATGAGGATCCTGCTACATATTCGCACTACAATGGAACCAGAACAACTCTAGACTTGCTCCTGGCTTCAAGCGACATCAGCGAGAATACACGCCGCAAAATAATTGACGATCCTGGTTCTGGTCA